TCCCCTCAGCCCCTTCTTTGACCAGCGGGTTGGTCATCAGAAACACCAAACCCAAGGGAGCTGACAGACCTCACTGTGCCACACTCCCAAGTGCTGTTGGCAGCTGCTGGGGGAAAACAAAAGCCCTGGATTACATCTTTCCCTTCTTTGAGGCCACCTGACAAGTTTGAGTAGGAGAGTGTCTGAGGGGCACTGCAGAGGGTGGCCGTGGATGCCAGGAGGGCCTGGTCACGAAAGCACGAACAGACAGGGGCATCCTCCCCATGAATTGTACTGTGAGCTCCACAGCTGGCATTGCCCAGTGCTCCACCACTTCTCCTTTCCCAGGCCATTGAAGAAGGGAACCTGGATTCCCTGGACCACTCCGATTTCCAGGGAACAGACATTCCTTTTGAAGTGCCACTTCCAGCCCAACAGCACGTGCCCGTGAGTGTCACCTGCATTCTCCAGCTCCTGTGAGCAGTGATGGGGCAGTCCCTCTGAACAGGGACTGGGATGAGGCTGGGATGGTAGGGACTACTGGGGATGGAAACAGAGCCAGCCCTGGCCCTGCTCTGTGCTCCCCACCCCACTGCAAGCACACACACACACACACACACACACACACTCTTTCCCATGCTCTCCAACACAGACACACACACTCACCCTCTGCTGTGCCCCACCCCATGTGTGTGCTCACCTGTGCACGTCCTGCACGCCCGTGTCCTGCTCTCCCCTGTGCTCCCTGTGCTGCGGGGCTGCAGCCAGCACAGCAATTCCAGGCCATGCACTGGCTGTGCCTGCAGGAGGAGCAGCGGGAGGAGGTCAAGGACTGGGTGCTCACCATGTCCATGGACCAGCGGCTGGAGCAGGTGCTGCCACAGGACGAGCGCAACACCTACGAAGCCTCACTGGTGGCAGCAGGGACCGGGGTGCGTTCCCTGCCCTGCCTGCTCACAGGTAAGCTCCAGGCCAGCTCACTCAGACAGGGGATGATGGTGCTATGCAGGGAGTGGGAACGTGCTGCTGGGCAGGTCTGGGAGAGGAGTGGGGAGACTGTGGCTGTGGGGAACCAGCGCTGCTGGAGGAGACACAAGGACCCTTTTGTTACTGGGAGGGTGACTGAGCACTGGAACAGGTTGCACAGAAGTTGTGGCATCTCCATCCTTCCAGACAGTCAAAAGCCATCTGGACACGGTCCTGGGCTGGGGTGGCCCTATCTGAACAGGGGGTTGGACCATACAGACCCCAGAGCCCTTCCAACCTCAGCCACTCTGTGTGATTCTGTGATGGCTCAGGCTGGCACAGCTCTGCCTGGGGACTCCAGGCTGGCACAGATGCTTGTGCCCGGGCAGCACCTGGCCCTGCTCTGCCCTGCTCTACAAAAGCTGTCACTTCTGGCAAGGTCTGTTCCCCATGTGCACACTTCAGACAGTACTGGACTGCAGTGCAGGACTTAAAGAGGATCAGGGAAGGGAGAGCAGAGGTGAGCCACCAGGAACAGGCTTTAAAATCAGGAGCTGGGTGCCATTGTTTGACCTACTCACTTGGGTGTCCTTGGCCAAGGGCAGTTCAGCCTTCATCTTCATTTGTTCCTGCCACTTTGGGCACCCCCTTCTTCATTCTGGTCTCCTAAAGCCTGAGGCAGCATCACCCTCTCCACACTGTGCCATGGGGCAGCCCCAACCGTGGCAGAGGGAATGGGGGTCTGCTGTGGGGCTCAGCTTGTTCTGAACGTGTCACTTTGTGCCCAGGATACCCTGTACTAAGAAACAAGATCGAGTTGAAGCCAGGCCGAGAAGTCAACAAGGAGGCGTGGTACAAGTTCGTGATGGCTGTCAAGGTGAGCCCCTGTGGGGCAGGGAGGCAGGCTGGGGGTGTGGGTTCAGCCCCTCATGCTGACAGTACAGTCCTGCTGGGTGAGTCACTGTCCCAGGAAGGTTTATTGCACTCTCCCAATGTGCTGTTGGGTGGGAATTAACAGCCCCAGCCCTGCCAGCCCCCGGGGTACTGTCAGGGCCCCCCGGGAGAGGGCCCTCTTTCCAGTGCCAAGCCCTCTCTCGTTCTGCAGACATCCCACAGCCCTGCGGGCCAGGATGTGATCGAGTTTCTCCGACGGTGGTGTGGGGGACTCCCGAGCACCAGCTTCTCATTCCAGTGAGCAGGACTATGGAAGCTTTCAGGGCAGCTCTTCAGCACCCTCCCCTTCCACCCCCAATAAATGTGTATCTCAACCCTGCTGTGCTCCTGTTTGCCAGGGGATGCTGAGTCCACAGTACAGGCAACTGCTGGGGCACAGGGCCATAAACCCTGTACACGAGTCTCAACCTCCACCCCGATAAACGACTGTCACACTGAGACCATGGCTCTGTCAACATCCCTGTGCCTAGGGAGTGGTGAGCATGGACGTGGACTCTCCCAGCAGCTGCACGGTCCTTCCCTCAGCGGGCCAAGCTCCCAGCCAGCACTTGCCCAGCAGAGCCACTCACAGAAGCCAGGGTAGAAAAGTTTATTTATTCAAGGAAGCCAGAGGCTCACACCAAAGGGATTCTTCACCTTCTGTTCCCTGCCCTGCCTGAGCACGGCACAGCCAGCTGACCTGCTCGCAGTGCCACCAGGACTTGGGCCCCAGCACCTCTGCTCACTGCTGACAGAGCCTTCAGCATGCCAGGAAGGGCCTGGCAGCTTGGGGACAGAAGGGGAGAGCGTCTGGGGCCCAAAGCACCTTCTGACCTGCAGGATCTGTGCCAGGTGGGGTGGTGGGGCTGGGGGAGAAGGAAGGCACACCCCTCGCCCCTGCAGCCCACCTTACCCACAGCAGGGGCATGGTGCAGGTGTGATGTCACCTTGCTCTGGATCACAGCACTCCTGCAGCACCACCTGGGAGTGAAGGAGCACGTGTAAGTGCAAGGCTGTGCTGCAGGTCCCAGCATCGCACTGATACTGCTGGCCACGTGCTTGGGAAGAGGTGTTTTGGGGGTCTGGTGTGGGCAGGGGCCCTTTTGATGGCAGAGCCTGCACCCTGCTGTCCCCAAGAACAGCCCATGTGCTGCGCTCACCTCTCCAGCTACGCACGAGTCTCAGCCAGCCCTGCCAGGAGCTGCTGCCTCTCTCGGGGTGGCCTCTCCATCGCTGCCCTTGGCCTGGCCAGCTACAGAGAAAAAAAAAGGGGGAAAAAAGAAAAAGAAGGGGAGGGTGGCAAGGGTGTGTGATGGGCAGTTTACACAAGGAAAGAACAAGGCTTGAAGAACAAGAGCCCCTGACTCTCAGGGGCATGAAGAAGAGGGTGTGCCCACAACTCTCCAGTATGAAGGGGTGCCGGTCCTGTCTGGCACCCAGGCTGGCCAGAAAAGGTTCCAACTCGGCATCCCCCCCTCCCACTGCTGCACAGTCTGCTTGTTCCCAGCAGAACCCAGCACCTTCAAAATGCAGCACAAAGGCAGCAACTGTGGGGCAGATACGGGGAGACCCATCTGGCTGGACAGGGCATACCTGCTCTTTGTCCCAGCTGTGTGCACAGGGCCCGATGCCCCGGAAGACCAGAGCAACCAAACAGCACCTGCCCGAGAGCACGGCTTCTGCAGCCGCCAGCAGCAGGGAGGGGAACCAGAGGGCCAGGGCCGTGTCCTGTGGAGCAGGGGGTCAGCAGAGCGTGGGCACTGCACCAGGCTGCCTGCACGCCAGGCAGCAGGGGAGAGAAGAGGGAGAGGGAGACAGAAGAAGAAGAAAAACGAGAGGAAGCAGCAAGAGAAAAAGGCTGATGGGAGGAGCACGGGTGTGCGGCGGCCCCGCAGACTCACGTAGATGCGCGTTGTGTTGAAGGGACAGTCGTTGGTTGCGATGGCTGCGCGGGCGTCCGCAGGCAGCGCGGAGCTGTTGCAGCCCCTGACCAGGTGTGTGCCCCGGCCGTGCACCGTGAGGGCGATGGCCAGTGCCAGCCCCACGCTACACGCGGCGGACAGGAGGCAGTTCAGCAGGGACACGCTCAGCATGGTCCAGTGCTGCAGGCAAGAACACCCGACTGGGGCTCACCCAAGCTGGGGGAAATGCCAGGGCCGGGCACCCCCGTCTCTGCAGAGCTGCTCGGCAGGGTCACGGGCGTGCTGCGAACCCGGCAGACATTTGCTCCGACAGAGCGCACACCATCTCTCGCCTCTTCCAGGACGGCTCATTGCCCGCGGATGAGCGTCTCTCACCTTTCACATCCTTCACCCCCTGTGAGCTCGGCGCCACCGGACGCTCCCTCCCACGGGCTCCGTGGGGAGCCCGGCACGGGCCCCGCTCGGCAGAGCGCTGGGACCCCCCGCCGCAGCTCAGCCCCGCGCCCCCCGCTCCGTGTCCGCCCACCCCTCAGCCCACGAGGGACCCCGGCGCGGCTGCAGCTCCTGCCCGAGGCGCTCCTGCCCGAGGACGGTGCCCCCGCTGCTCCCGCCCTCGGCGGGGCCGAGCCGGGCAGAGGCGACACCCGCAGCCCCGGCAGCCGCCGCCGAGGCGGAAGGAGCCCGCGGGGCCAAGGTCCAGGGGGAGCGGCTGCGGGCGAGGCAGGGCCGCGCCGAGGCCCCCGGCCCGCTCCGGCCCCGCAGCCCCGCACTCACCAGGACCGCCCGGGACAGATTGTGCGACACCAGGATGGCGACGATGCCGGCGGCGATGCTCTGCGGGGAGAGCTGCGCTCAGCAGGGGCCGGGCAGGGCCCGCCGCCCCCCGCCCGGCCCGGCCGCGCTCACCAGCAGCCCCGAGCACACCGACACCACGTTGGCCGCCGCGTACTCGGGGGTGACGGCGCGGCGGGCGCCGGCCACGTGCCGCAGGACCGAGCCGTGCACGATGGCGCCCAGCACCAGGCTGCCGTGGCCCAGCACGATCAGCCCCAGCCCCGAGCGCATCAGCCGCCGCGGCTCCGCCAGCACCCCCGGCCCCCGCCGTGCCCCGGCCATGGCCGCCGCCACCGCCGCCCTCGCGCCGCCCCGGGGCAGGGACCGGACCCGGCCCGCCCCGCCCGGAAAGAGGCGGCACTCGCGTATTTACAAAACAGTTTATTAAAAATAGGAAATGATAGAAATGAGATGCAGGAGCCGCGGCTCAGCCCCGCCACGCGCCGGGACGGGGGCGACGGGGCCGCTGCAGCCCCCGCAGCCCCGGGGGCCCGCGGGGCCCGCAGGGAGGGCGGGGGGGCTGCCAGGGCCGCGGGGCCACGGCCCGGGGGCCACAGCCCCGGGCTCACGCCGCGGCCCCGGGCGGGTGCGAACCAGTAAACAAAGTGCAGCCGGGGGCGGGAGCGAAGCGCCGGGCAGGGTGGGGAGCCCGGCCACCCCCGGGCCCCGCGGCCCGGGAACGGGGGGAGTGACGGGGGGTGCAGATGGGTGCGGGGCATAGGGGCTCACCCCTGCTTACCTTTAAATTAAAACAAGGGAAAAAAAAAGAAAAAGGAAAAAAAAACCAAAACAAAACAAAAAAACCCCATTTCGGTGCTGTGCAAAAGACACTTTGTACAATTCAAACAGAACAAACTCCATGCACATGAGTGGGGCTGCAGAACACCCCGAGCCAGGCCTCAGCTCTGCAGCATGACCTGGGCAAAATCCCAACAAAAACAGGGCTGGAAATAATACTGATGCGCAAAGTCCCCTTTAGAGGCGGGCAGGGAGGACTGTCACTGAGCCCAGCCACGGCACATGCAGGATGAGCTTCCAAGCACTGCAGCTGGGGTCTTGCGGATGCCCGACAGTGGTGGGCAGACAGAGGGGTCGCAGGCAGCGAGGCCGCGCTGGCCCCGGGAGCCGTGGGGCTAAGATGACACAGTCACTGCCGTCAGGGATCCGTTCCGAGTGTAGTAGAACTTGCTAAACGCCTCTTCAAGTAAACAGGTGAGTCTGCTCTGGTCAGCCTGGGGAGAACAAGGACAGTTGAGGGTAGGCCCTGTCCTCTGAGAGCTGAGAGCTTGGCTGGAGCCCCCCAAGGCAGGGACATGGCTTATTCCTCCTGCCTCCCCATCAGAAAAGGGTTGATATGGCACAAATCATTGAACTTTGAGAAAGGAACAGGCCTATAGCTCTACCTGAGCCCTGCTTACCTCGCTGATGAATCCAAGCTGGACCAGTTCAGCTGCCAGCTCCTGGATGTTGTCATCTGCAACACAAGGAAGGGTGTCAGTCCCCAGTCTGAGCACACAGCTGGCCCCAGTGCACCTCAGCACGGTCAGAAGGCCATTTACTGGGCTCAGGAAGGTACTTACTGGGCTGAGGAAGGTATTTACTGGGCTGAGGAAGGTACTTACTGGGCTGAGGAAGGTACTTACTGGGCTGAGGAAGGTACTTACTGGGCTG